GCTGTGGCTCAAGAGGAAGCAGCATGAGAAGCAACAGTGACCCGAGAATAAGCAGCACAAGAAGAAGCAGCCTGAGAGCACAGGCTGCCAGGTGCCATGGGGCAGGTCAAGGATGTAGTGGAGCCGTCAGCCCCAGAAATAGAGGAGCAGAGCCTTGACGAACAGGTGGGGGTGGAGACCCTGCCAGTGCCAGAGGCATCAACCCCTCCTCGGTTGAGACCCCACCTGATTGACAGCTAGTGGAGAGCCAGAAGGACTCGGCAACCACGGGTTCTTTCAGGAGAGGTGCAGCCCCCTCCTCAGGCTGTGGAGCACTCCATGCTCTGCTTCCATCCTCAGGCTCAAGCACAAAAGAAAATACAGTCTGCTTCTCAAAGGAGGAATTTAAAGTGCCCATGAGGGTCGTGAGGACCCAGATGTGGGTTGGTTTGAAAGGCAGGAGCAGACAGAAAGAAATTGGTCCACAGCTGTGGCAGTTGAGACTGGAGCAGCGGTTCTGGCTGCTGAAGATGAAGCAGAAGGCATAGATAAAGCAACAAGATCCATCTGTGTGTCTCTAAGACATTTTGCTAGAGAGGCTGGAGAACAATGTTTGAGCTTCCTTGCACAGGGACCATTGCAGAGAACTGAGGGCACATCGATTGAGAGGAGAGAATCCTGGAGAGGTGGAGCGTGAATAAAATGAAAGGTTCTGTGGCCAGGATTCTCACCTGGCCCTGGCTGCCTAGCTCACTACGCACATGTGGGCAATATGTTGCTATTGACTCTATATAAAGAGCTCCACCCAGTGCTCTGGGTAACACGGTGGCATGGCTGCAAGGCTACAGGAGAGCAGAGCAGAGGCTAGAGTGGTGACGGTGCCAAGGACGGACACTGGTACAGCTGTGCAGGGACAGAGGCCCAGAGGCAGAGACCAGCTTGCCACATGCAGACTCACTCTGAGTGAATGGGATTCTAGTGATTGACCAGCCACCATGGAAATAAAGTTGGATATAACCCTTTCATCCCAAGAATGTTCTACTGTCATTTCTTTGGTCACATTGAATCCATAGTGAACTTGCCAGGGGGCTGAAACCCATTGGCAATACACACACACATTCTTGCTTACAGCTAAACACACAATAAATCAGTTTCCAGAGGAAGTTACTGTTTTTTCCCACACATAATAGAAATAATCTTTAAAAGCATCATCATCATCTACAAACAGGTGTAAACTCTTACCTGCCCTTAGGGAAAGACTAGCCAATAAGAGGTTCTTCTGGTGATGTCATGCGTGTTGGCTTACTCTCTTGCAGGGATGGTTGGGAAGATGCTTTTCCGAGCCTCAAAGAGCATCAAACATGTATTGACTTTAACTCTTTCTCACAATAGCTAATTTTAGCTCATAAGCCACCTCTAATATTTCATAAATGTCATTTAGGACAGCCCTGAAATAATTGAGCAAAATCATGAGACTAGAGAATTTTTTTTAAGCATTGTTATCTTTAGCCAGTAATATTTGCCAATGATAATTCCCCATCTTTCTTGAGTAATCATTTACCTCCATATCCTGGTGCTTATGCAGATATACAGAGAACACATTAACACTAGCAGCAGTGGAAAAAATTGTATTTCTCATATGTAGGTTTTTATGAAAAATCACAGGGAATAGAGACCTTACATATACTTTTTTCATCAAATTCGTCACTGTTAGCCTCATGACTATGTACAAACTTAATTTCACATTTGTCTACTTTATTTTAAAGATAAAAACAATATTTGAAACAAGTATTTGAAAAACCAGGTATGTTCACAGTGACACCTTCTGCTTAGTATTTAGGGCTCTATTAGGGCCCTGTTGATGCACCCAACCGCTTCTGAATGTACAGAGAAGCCCTAGTCCAGGTCAGGTGAAGACCTGTTACCCATCACATCATGTCATGAAGTGATAGGAAAGATAGCATAAATGTGGGTTAGTTTCTCCAGAAAAGTGCAGAAAAGCTACACATTTCAGGCAGCTATTATTTCATGCAAGGCCTCATTCCCATTCCCTCTTCTCCACTCCAAACCTCACTTTTTAAGCAAAAGAATGCAATAGTAAGCCTGTTAGGAAAGCATAATCTGGAAGAGGAGGTTTCATGGTTCCTGAGCAGACCAGTAGTTTATCTGATCTGACACCCAGGAAGAAAGTAACTAGACTGCTAAGCCAGCTGTGTAATTTGCAGTGCTGGAAATAATTCAGTGATGAGCTGTGAGTACTCATAGTTAAAATGTAGGAAAATTGCTATATTACAACTTTGCTCTTTCTTTTTTCAGAATATCATCCTAATCTTTGGAGAAAACTGAGTTAATTTTTTGGCACATTAAGTGTTTCTTGAGCCTTTGTACTTATTCAGGTCATAGTAATACAGTTTCATTGGTATAGGGTGGAATTAGAATCGCAGACAGTTTCAAAGCTGCTATGTGTAATGAATGTCTCTACCATAGAGGAGTGGTAAGTTACTTTAACTTCAGTGAACCACACTTTACTCACCTATTAAAATGAAATAATAATTAAATATGAATTATTAAAATAATGTATATAAAGTTCCTGGCAAGTTGTAGGTACTCATTTGAAAGTAGCTGTGGTTATTGCTGTTTTTCCATATACACATATACACAAAATTTCAAGGCACTTCACCTTTCAAAATTGAAAAATAAATTATATAAAAATTATTATATACCCACAATACTTTCCCTGGTGTAACCAATTTTGTCTACCTTTTGATTGTGAAATAAATCCATTTTGTTTTCCATTTAAGATTTGATTTGTACCTGATTCTTAACGTATTATTCAATAGTCTTTTATTTTTATCTATTAATATTTCAGAGTTAGTGGTTTATAAATATATATGCAGTCAGTGAAAATAATTGTAAAGTAAATTTCTTCTAGAGATCTGCTGAAATTTTTAAAGGAATTGCTTCCCCAATCCTATAGAAAAGGTTGTAGAAGGCATTGCTCATGCTATGGAGTCAAGCTTATTGAGAAACAAAAAATGCAGTCTATCACTCTCAAGCAGTGATTAGCTGGAGTTTTTCAGTAAATTAGCTTGAACTAAATCACGTCATTATTGTTTGTATCCAGTCAAAAGCACTGACATGTTCCTGAAAATTGATTTTCGATTTTAAATTTCAAGGGCTATTTGGTTCTTTGTGAAAAATTACTGAATACCAATCCTGTGCATGGGGAAGTTGTAAGATCAAAAATGAGAGCAACACCAACCCCTCTAAAGACTTGGCTTTTGCCTTCTTGGTGCCAGGATCTCGTGAAGGGACAGACAGCACAGTGTGCTGAGTTCCATAATGGAGTCAGGTATGAAGTTACTGGAAAGGGAGATGCTGGAGGGGTGAGTTTATGAGAAGAATAATAGGTGACATGCCGTTGGCTTTTAATAATGAGTAAAGAATAATGAGTTTATTTGGGTAAGGTAGAATAGTGTTCAGTGGAAGGCATAGCTAGAGCAAAGGAAGAAAGAATTAATACATCACAGTTATTTGTGAAATGGCTTTGACTTGGTATAACATAGGATACCCTGGATGGAAGTGTGGCAAGGGAAAGGACATGCTTTGTGTATAGAGAGGATTTTTAGAAAACTATTACCTTCCACATCACAGTATTCTTATCTTTTCTTTGCAAGCATACCATGAGAAGATTCATGATACTAAGTTGAATTTTTTTTCTGTGATGTCTTTAAGCCTATTTGGACTTTTCTTTAAGTAAAAGAATATTATTCCTTTGTTTTTCTTAACAATTTAAAAAAAATTATTCCTATGTACTACTATATTTCAAATTAGGTAAATGTAAATTTTACAAGCCATATTTCAAGAAGGCAATATAAATTGTGCAAAAATAATACTTAAGATCTAGAAAACATCTGTTGATTTTGATTCATGTAGAAGCATATACAAGCAAATTTGTAAAAGGCAATATATCTAAATAACCTAATTAATAATGTCAGAGTATGTGTTAAGAAAGTATTGTCCATGCTAACTTCCTAAAAGAGTAATCTGGGAAAACTTAGAAGCACTAAGCCAGCAGGTCAAAGCATGGAGCCATTTACCTATAATACTTTAGGTATAAAAACATTCTTAAATAAAACTTGCTCAAAATTCTCTGCCATTTTTTTTTAGGATATTCACTGAATAAGAAGTGTTTATACCTTAGAACAGGACTATAT